AGCCCGGATCTACGAGCGTTACAAATATCTCTCCCTTAGGATGATTACGTCTCGAAATCATCAACGAAAATAGGACTTGTATAATGATTCCATACTTTATATTTTCATCCTAGGTAATAATCGTAACTTCTATGTTTCTTCGAATGAGTATCTAACTCTTGGACTTCTTGACCGCAGGCGATGCTCAATCTTGCACCTGTTCTTCGTCCTATGTTGGACTTTCAATCGTAACCTACGAGTTACAAAATAAGTCCTTATTGTGGACTCCTTCTTCTTCTTAGGATAAATACTTTCCTTTATCTATTGTCACAGACCGATGGGTCGTGCTCTAATGACCTCTCATCGCATGATGCAACGCTTAGACTCAAGTCTCTTAGAGTCAAACTCCAGATTGGAATATACCTTCCTTCATATTCTAATGCAATATAACCACATTTTAACATGTAGCATTTCTAGCTACAAACTTCATTAATAATGAGCGCGTTACCAATGATCGCATTGATTTCAATCTTCTGACTTCAGTCAAATGCTACATCGAACTCAGTTCTTGGAACCACGTAACAAACTCATCGTATCCCCACTCAATTTGATATGACCACTAGGGTCAGAATAACAATCATCTTCTTAGTCATTACCGAAACAATGGTAACGACATACTTGAATAAAAACATAATCAACTACTAGCTTCTTGGTAACCTTGTGACTTTCCCTGATCCAAGCGTGAGTCATGTGCTTCCAGTAGTATAGATCTCTACTACTATTCACACCTACTCATACTCGTCCCAAGTATTGTCTCGCAGTCCCCAAGTCCTAAAATCACAAAACAATTTAACACATACGAATGTGTCCAATTAATCATAAAATTTTCCTAGACTCTACTAGGACTTCTTCCATGCGTATCGTTAATCATCAATTCTACTTCAACTCGGTTGGTGATGGAAATTCCAAACGATGGGACAACTTCAAGAATTACACCAATCGTTCCATCATCCTGCCACTCGAAGGTGTACTTCAGACGTACCGTACTCCTCTAAACGTTCTGTCATTTTATCAGACATATTCTAAAGGCAAGATACCACTCTTACGATATCTTCCGATAGGTGTCATTCACTATCATAAGCCTTTCATTTCCTCCATTTACTCAATTCTCTACGAGTCTTCACCATAATGTTCTGCACACCAAAGCAGTCGTTCGATGTATCGAGACGAGAATATAGATAGAGGAAGGTTTAGACACATATTCCTCCTCATTACTTCGAAGATTTACATGCCAGTTCTAATATCGTAATTAAACGTTTAGAAACCTGAGCACATAAAATTTCCAGATCCGGTCAGCAACAGACCATAGATCCGAACAAATAATAGCATATAGCATTTAGCACATAAAGGCATTTTAGGCATCTTTCCTAAAATAAACTAGTGCTCGTGTCAATTTAGGTGTACTACCTAAAATATTTTAGACACACTCTTCACGATCATTACTTAGCATTCTAAGTTTAAGTCTAGAAATTTCCTACAAATTCCTAGTTCTCTTAAACTAATGCTCTGATACCAACTGTGACATCCCCAAATTTCACGGCCAGAAAAGACCGATTTTGTTTATGCTTTATAAAAATCAGAGTACTTTTTTTAATAAAAATCTTGCGGAATTTGTTCCCAGAAAAACATGACAAATACGTTATCAAAGCATTTCCGAAGAAATGTATTTTTATTCATTTTAAAACTTTGGGATGTCATCGTCAATACTGAAACATAAGCATAAACAGACCTTATATTTATTTACACTAGTGATCTACATCTCCTTTAATCTCTCAGTGTAAGGTAGCTTCGTATCGACACCTGTGATACAAATAAGCTTGAGTGGGTCAGCTTGGGAAACCTGGTGAGTACATAGGGATTTCAATCCCACAATGTTATAACATATATATAATTTAGAATTCACACAATATATAAAAATTATATATATATAATATATATATATATATACATATATATATATATATATATATATATATATATATATATATATATATATATAACCAACTCTTACCCCACCCTGTCAATCCTCTCAACGAGACTAAAAACTAACCTCTCGACCTGATCCATACTCCCGGATCTAAAACTAACCTCTCGACATGATCCATACTCCCGGATCTAATAACAAATAACTATGTCATGTCCATACTCCCGGACTAAGGGCAACTAATTATGTCTTAATCCATACTCCCGGATTAATGACAGATTATATGTCCTGTCCATACTCCCGGACTAAGGACAACTGACTATGTCTTAATCCATACTCCCGGATTAATGACAACTGACTAAGTCTTAATCCATACTCCCGGATTAATGACAATTAACTAAGTCCAATCCATACTCTTGGACTAGGGACGAATAACTATGTCTAATCCATGCTTCCGGATCAATGACATATTTTAAAGTTCTATTCTCCGTATATATATCACTCGTACTCATAAAGAGATATTGCCCCATAACCATTATAACAAACCTTAGGTTTACTCTTTAACCTATGTTATCGTAAACAATTAGGTATGTTCTTTAACACTTAATTCAGACATCATCGAATAACTCACACAAATCATATATTTAATACATTCAAACAATACTTGTATTAAAATCATGTTCATGAAAGGGACTATGCACTCACTTGATAAGACGATGATCGGGCAGCACTACGGCTCTTCGAGTAGAAATTCTCCGGTGAAACCGGGATGCTTTCTTGAAAACCAGGCCTCTCGCGGGCAGAGTTTTGGCTCGGAAAATTTACTTCTCGGGATCCTCGGGGCTTCAGGACTTGCTTCGGGTCTCGGTAATGATAGCGGGGCTTCGGGGTATAAGTTGCACGCAAATCGTGGCAATAACAAGTCAGAGAGAAGAAATGAGCAACAAAACTCGGCAACCCTTGAGTTCTATTTATAGGGGCTGATCCCTGCGATTACGTTGGGCGTAAATTCAGAGTACGCTGGGCGTACTCCCTCTACAAGCAGTACGCTGGGCGTACTCTTCGGATAAGCTTTGGTATGCGTGCCTCGAACTTAAAAAATTCATAACTTTTGCATACGAGCTCCGTTTTCGACGTTATTTATATCCACGCGTAGGTGAGACTATGCTCTACAACTTTCATTTAGACTCCGTCGGCTAATTTTGACTTTATTTTTATTATATTATTTTTAGTAGGCCGGGACAGGAAAACTCCGTTATAAAATCATAACTTCTTCATCCGACGTCCGTTTTCGTCTGTCTTTTTACCGTTGGACTACTAACGACGGGATCTTTGATTCTCGTTTAGATTGTTTCGACAAAATATCACTCGATCTCAATTTTGAGATTTGGGCTGTATACCGCTAAGTCGAAACTTCGAAAAATAATAACTTCCTCATACGAAGTCAGATTTAGACGTTCTTTTTATGCACGCTCTCGGTTTAACGTATTCCACGACTTTCGTTTAGATCACTAAGGCTAGATATCGCTCTATCTTAAATTCGTATTTTACTTCATATAGTGTCGTGCCGGTTCTGTCGCGAAACTTCGACAGGTCATAACTTCTCCTTTATAACTCGGATTTCGGTTTTCGGCGTTCTTTATATGTACGGAATCCTTGTAAAATATACTACAACTTGGTTAAGATTACTCATTCTCAATAATATTCCATCAAAAAGTCATTTTTGACGCTGAACGTCTCTAAATTGACTAGCCTCGGATCTACGGGCGTTACAATTGTAATGCCTAATTTCATGAAGAATGATATGATTTCACAAACATGTACAAATATCTTTTAATCCTACTAATTTATTGTTACATATCTGCAAAGAGACCACAAGGTGGTGACCATATCCACACACCACAAGTATTGACCTAAGATATGGATATAGGAATGTGAGGGCAATTTTTGTGAGAAAGAACCAAAGATTTGCCCTTGCATTAAACTTACAAATCTTGATGGGAAAACTTGCATTAAACTTACAAATCTTGATGGGAAAACAGACGTTTGTTGATGGCAAAACTACCATGTGTGTTCAAGAATGGAGAGCAAGCATCAAAGACTTTTATGGTGAGTAACCTTTCAAAACTAATCATTTCCGTTTCTATCTCAAGTTCTGAAAAATGAATGATTAAAATCTGCTCATTATGTGCTAAAATTGTGCATTTTTACATTAACAGATGTTATATTTCCTCCGATATTGCAACTCCAAAGTGGGATAACGGATTTGGAAGAGAGGAAACAAAAAGAAATATACTTGAAAAGATATTCAAGAAAAGATGGTTTTGATTTATATTATATGAAATGTTTGTGTTTAAAAAAAATTTATATTATATTAATTGTTTGTGGTTTAAAAAAATAAAATTTGTTTAATATTTGTGCACAAAAAATGTTTGTGTATTAAAATAAAGTAATTTAATTGAATTAGAAAAAGAAAAAATATCAAAAAAAAATAGAGTGTTAGGAGTGTTACCACTCTCTACAAAATGCTAAGATTAGGTGCTAAATGGAAAAAAAAATGAGGTGGCAATCAAAAGCTGATGTGGCAAGGTGTTAGGAGTGTTATCACTCTTCTTAGCCTAATGGGAGTAGTCTTAGGAGTTTAAAAAAATCGAATTAAAAATATAATTTTTTCCACAGTACAAGCTTTTATCTTAAAAAATAAAAATAAAAAAACTCTTAATAAAAAAGTTACTTCAAATAGTTTTTCGTAGATAACTTTTAGTTTTTACGTAAATTTACATATGTAAATGCTAACTATTTTTGTTGAACGATATATACCAATAAAAACTACATCTTTCAGCTATTAGCTTGTTTTGCAAGCACATAGCTAAGGGGTTGTTTGTTTTTTTAGAAGATCTGCGCAACCACTTATAACTACGCAGCGCAGACATATGGCATCACAGAGTGTTTGTTTTTCGGAAGTGCGCATATCTAAAAATGTCTGTGTGCGAGGTCTTCTTGGCACAGAATGACTTCTAAGGTCTGCAAACTCATTTTAACCTAAACAAAAAAGAAAAAACAGATGTCTTTTTTTTTTTTTTTTTTCTATCAGCGCCTTCTACATCCTTCCACTTTTCCTCACAATCAACTGCTCCTCCATCGCCGATCTTCTCCAACCCCGTCTCTTCCTCCTGTGTCGTTGGCGTCCAGACTAGACGCACTACCACCACCGGACTTGCACCACCGGACGCTCCAACAATTGAGCTCCTCGTCTCCTCCCTAAAAACGATGAAAAAGGCTTGCACCTCTTTTTCTGATTCTTTTTTCTCGTCCTAATATGAACTTGAATGTTATTTTTGTTGAATAACTCTCTATTTTACTTAAATTTGTTGTTTAATCTTGCTGAAAATACTTTTTATCGCTCAAATTTGTTGTTTAATGTGCTATAAATCATATTTTGCTTTTGGATGTTGCTGGAAATCCGAAGACCTTGCTGAAAATAGGAAATTCATATTGAAAAACTCTTTTAATTTTAAAAAATTTGTTTATTAAAATTTTAGTTTATTTTACTAGATTGTAGACATTAAAAAACAAAAAGTTTCTACTTGCAAACTGCAGACGTTTGGTCCACATCTTCTACTGCAGATATTTGCAGATATGATCCCCACGTTTTACCTCTCAAAAAACAAACAACACCTATATCTCATATGATATGTTTAGGGCGGGTTGACATTGTGATGTTAGAAAATAATCCACTTGTAGAAATAAAGAAATGGAATTAGATTTGAGTCAATAACCACGTGATAGATTATAGGTCATTCATATTAAGGTGGTCGAGTTGTGACAATCGAAAGAAAATGGATTTGATCCGTAATAACTACATAGGGATGAGCAAAATAACAGTTGGAACCGAACCGAATCCGAAACCGAATGAGAACTGATTATGCATTAAGTTTACCATCCCCCAAAAAGATGAAATTCGGTTTAGACCATATTTACATTACAACCAGGACCAAATTTGTAATTTACTCTTTACAATACAAATGGTTTATAATCATAACTCTTAATGTAAATGTTTTTTTTCTCTCTTGACAATTATTCAAGTGCCTATGCACGTATCACAATGGTTAACTCAAAACAATGAGCTCAAAACGATGGCGCACGGATAACATGTGCTTAAAAAACAACCAAAAAAACTTTAACAAAACAACATTCTACACAAAATGCAAAAATTACCAAGAAACAAAATTGGTGAAAACCCCTAACAACCAAAAAACTGAAATTGTAGCTATCTCATTCTCAACAACTCATCTCAAAACCAAAACCATTATAACAAAGTAACTTACCTTACAGGCTGCTGGTTGTAGTGATTTTTCTCTTTCTTCTTGGCTGCTGCAAGCCTTGCACTCCTTGCCGCCGCCTCACTGGCAGCAGCTCTGGCGGCACCGTCCATTTCCTTGCCGGATTTCTTCTTCTTCATGGAAGCCATTTTCTTTATCTTCTCTTTCATGTTCACTCCAGACAACTCTTTTTCTTCTGCAGCTGAGCTTTCAGTCTCCTGATCCTTTTCCTTTTCCTTTTCTTCTTCTTTTGCTTCCTTTGATGCCTTCTCTTTCTTCTTCTTTTTAGCACTTTTGCTCTCACCACCACCTCCCATGGTTTTCTCTTTCTTCTCTGCCACCCCTTCATTTTGATTCTCTACCTTCTCTTGAACAGCATCTACCATGTGAAAGTATCAACAAGATTACATGTTTTGATTTAAGAGAAACTTCAGAAGCTTACCAATGGAGTTCTCTTTGCCATTGTTGTCATTCAAACCGAATTCTGCAAGCACTGCTTCAAGCTCCGCTAGCTCCTTCTTCAGATCCTTCTTCGAAAGCTGTCTGTCGGTTTCTTTCGGAGGCAAAATTGGAACAGTATTTTGAATGATCGGCTCTTCTTCTTCATGATCATTTTCTTCTTCATCGGTTTCATCAAGGTCTTCACTTTCACTTTCACTCTCCTGGAAATTACGAAAAAGGTTTAAATCAAGATGAACAAAATCGAAGTTGAAAATGGAGTAATCATTAAGCGAACTCTCACCTCAACTGGAGTTTCATTTCCTTTCTGATCGTCTTCACCGGCAACCCAAACGGACGGTGGCGGAGCGGTGGTTGCGTAGTAATCATCATCGTCTTCATCATCCACATCCGCCCATGACTTCATTGTTAAAGGCGCTGGAGCCCAGAAAACCTGTTCCTCTACTCCATTTCCTTCACCATCATGTTTCGTCTTAGAGCTGCCTGCATTTTTTGAAGAACCATCACCTTTATCCGATTTCTTCTTCTTCTTTAGGCTACCAAGAGCAGCAAAAACATTGGTGCTGTTGATTGCTACTGGTCCATCCTTTCTATTTCCACCTCCAACCATTTCTATGCGAATTCCTAATCTCAAATTACACTTCAGATCGATATTTCAACAACCTACAGTTTTGTTTGTATCTTTGTAGAGGTAATCAGAGTTGCTACAATCGAATTCGACAACCAGCACGACTTCGATTAACCTAAAACTTCGATTGAAATGCGGATAGGATTAAGGCAAAATGATGATGACCAGTTTGGTGATTTAAGAGCAAAAAACGATCTCTCCAAAAAAAAAAAAAAAAAAACAGCAACAGATCACAAACCACGATTAGGATTTGATTGAAGTTCGAAACGATTGGAAGCGTTAACGATTAGCCTTTCTTCTTCGTTTGATATACAGGCATTGGGTTCTGCGACACGATTAGGGTTCGTAAGAAGACGATGATGAAAGAAAGAAGGATATGAGTTTGGATTAGGGTTGGGATGAGCATCAGCTGCTGCTGCTGTGAGCTGCATTTTGTATGTATGCACAGCACAGCGCTTTCTTCACTACAAGAGTAGTTTTTTATTTTTTGCCTTCTGGATATTCACAGGGAATGTAGTGGGTAAATCTCAGCCGTCTATTAGGAGAACGACGTAGATTGAGCTACGTGTGCTCAACATTTTGAAGTTGATTTTGACCTTTAACTATCGTCAAATCTGTATTTTCTCCCCCTCCCAAAATAATTTTTGATGTAATCCTCCCCTAATAAATAAAACAATTTTGTCCCTCATCAATCACTCATGAGTTTTGACACGTGTCATTTTGTAGTATTTTTAGAATAAATATTATCCACTTGTAAATTTATAGTTTGTTTTGATTTTTAAAATTAAAATCATATACTTATACATGTAAAGTATTAAATATAATATATATGAAATTAAATTGCAATAAATACGTTTCTTTCTTTTGTTATTTTAAGTTTACATTAAAAATATTTACTGTTTACACTTTAATGTTTAATCTTTTTTTTTAAATTAACCCGTGTAATACACAAGTCGACATGTAGGCTCAAAAACATGACCCGGTCAAAGCCTGGTCAACTAAAGCCCAAGAAGGTCCAAGAAGGTCCAATTGCACCCTTATAAAAATTAGCCTATGTGTCATTGTTGTTAAGTTACTAACGTCACATACTATTTTCATTTCTATAATGCATAAGACAAAATAGAAAGAAATTAAAGTATGATGTTATAATGCATAAATAGATGAACGTATATTGATGTTCTTTTCATTTAGTCTCTTACCGATTCCGTGTTTGGTTCTCGTAATTTGGCTCAATCGGTTTCGGATCCTAACCGGGTTTAGGTCGGTTGCTGACCCCTACCTAGTTCAAACATTATATGTGTTGTATAGTCGATGTAGAGTCCACTGACAGGGTGCGTTGCACTTATGATACGATGAGTGTTTTGGTATAACTTGTTACATTATTCCCTTAGTGTTTGTGAGCAAGAAATTTTGCAAGTTGTGATTTTGGTTTGTGAGATTTAGTCGTGGCCTTTGAGAGAATTGATGATTCTCTTTTTTGTGTCCCTTGGTCATAAACTTTTACAATCAATACGAAGCATGGAAAACTACTTTAATCGCCTAAACTATTCAATCGACACGATTATTCCATATGTCCAAAAATAATTCTAAAACAACTTTGACTAATAAGATTATTGCCAAAAACATGATGTCATACAATATGGCAAAAGAGCTTGCCTTCTCATGCATACACATACACAGACTCCATATTTAAAACTTGCAAATTTATGAAAAGATCATAAACTATCATTCCAAAAAAAAAAAAAAAAAAAAGCAAAATTCGCATCAACATCAAGATTCAAGATGAGTTATCATATGTTGTTCCAACATGTTGAATCACAAACCTGTAAATCTTCCCTTTCAACCGGTCAACGGCTCCGGTCATCACTTCATCTTGCTTCGAAACCATCCGGTCCAACCAGTCATTAACCCGCTTCAACTGCGATAAAATCACCTTAATCGGCCCCACTTCTGCTGAACCGGTCCCGGTCCCACCACCATTCTTCCCAAACACCTGAAAACCCGCATCCAACGATTCCTCCACAAATTTCAAAAACCAAATCTGCATCTCCTTCTGCAACTTCATCCCCAATTCCACACTCTCATTCACCCCACGCCCCTTAATCCACGACCCATTAAAAGAAGAATTACAAGAAGAAATCGTCAAATGGGATTTCATTGTTTCGGTTAGGGTTGAACCTGAACCTGAACCGGGTCGGATCTTTGATTGGGTTTTCTTTTGGGGCTGAACCGGGGTCTCGAACCCTTGGTCTGCTAAGAGGGAGACGACTTCGAGGTCGGTGGCTAAGGCGGCTTCGATCCAGAGAGCGAGGGATTTTGATTGGTCGGTTGGTGGTGGTGGTGCGGTGGTGCGATTGGTGGTGGTGGTGAGTGATTCGGCTGTTGTGGTGGCTTTTATGGTGTCGTTGTAGACAGTCATGAACCGGTCGATTGTTGGTAGAGGGTTTCCGGCTTTTGAGATTGAACAGAGATTTGAGAACATGCTGCAATTGAGAAGATAAATAAATATTTATCTCATTAATCATGGATTAATTTGTTAATATAATCATAGTTAAGTTAACTACTTGTTGTAATAATAGCAATATACCTTAAACTCCTGAGAATAGCTTCAGTAACAAGGGCTTCTTGCAAAGCTTCAGCTGCAGCTACTGAAGCCACATTTCTCCTTCGCATAGCATCCTACAAAATTAGTTCAAATATTAATTACAAAACATTCGTGATTTGTGGATTTAACATAGAAGGGCATTCATGTCTTTTCTACCTGTCCAAGCTTTGCTAGGTCTAAAGACACTGCATCCAGAGGGACACTACCATCAGTCCATTTCTTTTCATGAAGTGTGATTCCAAGAGGTGTAGTAGTAGTATTCAAAGGAGGAGTGCCACATAAGCTAGGATTTACTTTTTCTTCACTAGAAAAATCTTCTTGATCATGTGAATGTGCATCACTTAAACGTCTTGAAAGAGCAGCCTGAAAATAACAAAAAACAAAACCAACAAGGGCAACAACTTCATTAACATCATAATGAAGTTATATGATTTTTATAAAATATAAACAAGTTGGGTTTTTTATTTTGTTTACCTGGGTTTTTAAAATTGCTTGCAAATCCGGTTTGCTTTTAATCCCACTCTTCTCTTTCACTTCTGTTTCATCCCAATTCTTTCTACTTGACTTTGTGGAAGACCCAACAAGTGCCTCTGAAACCTTTGAAATCTCAGCAGCTAAAGTTGCCATCTTTTTCTTGTTGCCGGAATCAGTTGCCGGAGAAACTTTAACTCCACTAGATAACCGCCTGCCTGGAGACATTGACATTCTTCTTGAACTTGGAGATGCTTGTCTCCGACCATTAGGTGAAGGTTGTCTATATCTTGAAGGAACAATAATGGCAGGCTCTCTTGCAGACTTTCGGTTCTCTTCTTTAGCCATGGCTAAACTAGGGACCACACACTTTGAAGGTACCGGAGAAGATGATCTTTTTGCTTTTCCGGCAGGTGAAGGATCCCTTTCAATTACGTTCTTCTTTCCTGCTGACACTGATCTCTGTTGCTTCATGGCTGGACTTGAAAATCTCTGAGGAGGCTTTTCTGCAGTCTTTGTTGACTCATTAGAAGTATTCACATTCTCTTTAGGTGCAAGAACTTGTCTGTTCCTAACCTGTTTAACAAACAATAACACTCATTATTAAATAGAAGCTCTTTCTTTTAACTACTATTATTCACTAGAAATTTAATTAAACTACGAGAAGTTTTATGGTTGCCTTTGGTAAATCAAACTACTCATTGAACAAAATTGATACAGTCGGTTTAGCAGAAAAAGTTTGTATCTCAAAATTCAGACATTTCTAAAACAAATTCAGCCCTTAAGAGTTAAGACTAAGAATAACTCGATACAGGTAAACACTATGTTAATAGATGACATGTTGATGAATAATCACGATCAAGCACATAAGTTTTAGATTGACATGTATAAAAATCAAATCTGTGAATAGAATAAAGCCTAACCTCGTTTTTTGTTTCCTTCGAGTCATGTACAGGTCCATCTAACTTTTTACTCGACAAATAAGCAGCAATAGGATCACCAGAAGCATCTGAATCGGAAGCAGTCTGGATCACGAACTCTCTTTTGGAACTCGAAATCCTAGCAATAAGCTGTTCAGGACTTCCAACAAACGGATGACGACCAGCAATCGGACGTACTCCAGATGCTCGTGGTACTGGGGAATCAAACTCGAACTTATCAACATACACAAACTGCCCTAACTGTAATCGATTAGTGAGTATGAGATCTGTGTCCCGATCAGATAACGAGACGTAAGTTGAGTTAACCGAGTCAGAGAGAGAAACATAGAAGCCATGGTTAGGCCAGAGGTCATTTGAGCCTGCTGCAAGAGCAGGAACAATTCCGATGACCTGGAGAAGAGGGGAGCGGTGGTCGCCGGTAACTCGTGTGGTGGTGTTCATCGTCTGGAGGAGTTTTAACAAGATTCCTGGTGTTAGAGACGCCATTGAAAATGGAATTTCAAGGTTTGAGGATAGAATTAGGTGTGAATTTGGGGGAAATGAGGGTAGGGTTTAGATAGATAGAGGGTCGGGGAGGAAGAAGCCGTTACGAAGATCTAATTTTGAAAATGAGGATTGTAATTTTGGGCGCAGCGAATGATTGAGATATGTTTTGAAATTAGTGGTGTGGATGTCACTCGTGAAGGCAACGGCTTCAGACGCCGTTAAGTCCTTTGTACATTTGAAATTGGTAAACAGAATCGACAAAAAGTTAGCACAAAATTTTATAAATGGGCCCTATGGTTTGTCAGATTCATAACTTGTGTCCCTAATATTTTTTAGTTACATAAATTTTTTCTTATGGTTTTATTTTTTTGCTTGGTTGATCACTAGCTCATGTAAAATATATATCTTCTATATTTTCTTTTATCTTTTTTTTTTTTAAATATTACCATTTATATTAATATATTATTACAAACCCCTTC